CTTTCCATTATTACTTATCTTGTAGCAGACAATTTGAGGGACTTGCAGACAAGCTATAAGGGACCACAGTTTACTCAAAGACCTTTCATCGTGACATATGTACACTGCACATTGGTAATCTGAACTTTGTGACATCAAAAGCTAAATTCTCCAGCCTGTCTCATTCTATGCAAATTAAAGATATGTGCCCGATTGCTCTACTTTTCCATAAATAGACTTTTTTTTTTATTACCCCATTGTGTAATTCTTCTTTTGCTAGTCATAGGGAAGGGCAAGACCAGACCCAGGATAGCCAGTGTACTGCAGTAACAGTGTCAGACGAGGCTGCCCAGTGAGACCCAGGTTCAAATCTCACTCAATCATTAAGCTGGCCAAGAAACCTTTGGTGAATCTCTCTCAGCTCAAACAATTTGCAGGGTTCTTGTGATGACAGAACAAGGAGAAACAACATGTGCATTATTCTAGGCAATTTTTGGCAGTGCAAAAGGTTATTAATAAATCCCCAGGGGTGAATTAACCAACAGTGCTTGGTGAATTCTGGCTTCTGAATTCACCAAGCACTGCCAACATATTTTCTAGCATATTCACTGTCATAAGGGCTAGGAACGTCCTTTTTTGAAAACAAAATGAAAACTGAGATTTGGGAGAAGTTAAGTTCAGCATCCAATACCACTTTAGCTGACATCCTGCAAGCAGTAAGGCAGGACCTACTGAACCTCAACAGGGAAGGACAAGAAAGTAGCAGAACACGATAATCAGGCACATTCTTCCATTCTTTCCCACTACTGTACCACTCCTGTGTTTATCAGACCTTCTTGCAGAGAAGGGCTTTATTTTTGCGGCAGAGCACATGCTTTGCACAGAGGTCACAGGTTCACTTCCCAGCATCTCCAGACTGAAAACCCTGAAGATCCACTTTCAGTCAGTTTAGACAGTGCTAAGCTCAATGGACCGATGGCACCTAAAGAGGCTAATTTTGTGAAGGACCGTATCTTGGCGACAGCTACAGCAGGAGATTCAGGGTGTTGAAAAGACATTGCTTTCACACAATGCACTGTTAACCAGTGGAACCCACAGCCCCAGGATGCTTTTAAAAGGAGGTTAAACACAATTAGAGAAGAGCACAGCTCAGCGGTAGAGCACGTGCGTTGCATGGGAAAGATCACAGTTTCAGTCCTTAGCATCTCTAGCTAGAAAAGCTGTAGAAAAGCTGAATGTGAGAGATAGAAACTTAGACAGCTGCAACAACAGCAGCAGCAACAACAACAACAACAGAGTCAGAGCTGGTCTGCCTTGCTCTGTAGAGCAGGACTGTCTAAAACAGTCTTTGCCACCCAGTTATCCTCCATATTTTGAACTATAATTCCCACCAGCCTCAGTCTGAATGACCCATGGGCAGGGATCATAGAAATCATAGAGTTGTAATGGACCCTGAGGATCATCTAGTACAAGCCCCTGCAATGCAGGAATGTGCAGCTGTCCCATTCGGGGATCAAACTTGCAACCTTGGCTTTATCAGCACCATGCTCTAACCAACTGAGCTATTCAGGCTGATGATGCTGGGGTCTGAAGTCCAAAAGGCACCTGGATGGGGATGCCCATCTTACAACATGACACAAGGTCCTTGAATCCATATTCCATCCAGGCGGAGACTCACTCCCTCACTGCACCTTCCCAGCTACCTCTCCACCTCCAGATTCTATATCTGGTTCCTAACTTGCTTTGTTTAAGGCAGGGATGGATGGGGGAATCTGTGACTCTCTGGATCTCCAGCTGCCATCTGCCCCAGCCAACACAGCTTTGGGTCAGGGATGATGTGAGTTGGAGTTGAACAACAGCCTGTGAATTCCTCATCCCTTGTGTTAAGCTGACACAGATCTAGTTAGGACCTGGACCTGGGATTACAGTGTGGTGGTGGAGGAGAGGGGAGCCCCCCACAGCTTGCTTTGGTTTACTTGCTGGTCCTAATTTGGGTTCCCCCCAACTCTCCCCTGCCAGGAAAACTTGGAGGCTGTTCTCTATTGCCTACTGGACTTGGAAGCAAAAGTTGACCTTCTCCAAAGCACAGAACCATAACAACAACAACAACAACAGTTTATTTCTTGCACCCTACCCATCTAAGATTTCTCCCTCCACAAACAAGGCAAAAAATAGGCTTTTGCATGGTGCATCAGTTTGTGGAGGCCTGCACGGGATCATTCCCCTCTCTTTCTGCAAGCCTAATGCCAGAAATCACAGTTAAAGATCCTCTATAAACACTCCCACCCTCCCACTCATCCTGCAAGCTTCTCCCTCCATGAGAAGATATCAGTGACCAGAGTTCCCAGGCTGGAGTCTCTTTGATCTGCTCCATTCCACTGCGTAATGTAGGCCACTGCAAAATACACCAGGGACCATATTCCAGACAGTGGACCGTTCAGGGCTGGGGTGGGGGGAGGCAGGGATCTACAGACGCCTCTGCTTAATAAGGAAAGGACAATGGCTGGGGCACAGAGAGATGCTCCTCGCCTCCCACACCCAGAGCACAAGCGAGCCAGTTCTTTGGGGCTGTGTCACTGACCACACAGCGATTACTCCATTGCGGGAGCCTTACAATCAGGACTGATCTTCATTTTCAAGCAGCTGCTGTGGTTCGGAAAGCTCCTGTTGCACATGGAAGCCATAAGATGCAGTCTCTGTTCAAACACTGCAGTTCAGTGAGCATAAGGAGAACTTTGCTGGGTCAGACCAAGGGTCTTTCCAGTCTGAAGTTCTGTTTCTAACAGCCAACCAACTGCCTCGAGGAAATCTGCAATAAAGGCTTGCACCATTTGGGACTTGTTAGTTTAGAGAAACAGCTAGTAAGGGTGACAGGGTGCAAGTGTATACAGTGGTACCTCGGGTTAAGTGCTTAATTCGTTCCGGAGGTCCGTTCTTAACCTGAAACTGTACTTAACCTGAAGCACCACTTTAGCTAATGGAGCCTCCTGCTGCCACTGCGCCGCTGGAGCACGATTTCTGTTCTCATCCTGAAGCAAAGTTCTTAAGCTGAGGTAATATTTCTGGGTTAGCTGAGTCTGTAACCTGAAGCATATGTAACCTGAAGTGTATGTAACCTGAGGTACCACTGTACAGTTATGCATGAGATGGGGAATGGGGAAAGAGAAAAGTTTTTTCTGTATTTCTCCTAACACGGTTATTATTATTATTATTATTATTATTATTATTATTATTATTATTACTACTACTACTATTACTACTACTACTATTTTATTTGTACTCCACCCATCTGACTGGGTTGCCCCGGCCACTCTGAGTGGCTTCCAACAAATTGTAAAAACTCAGTAAGACATCAAACTTTCCTGTACAGGGCTGCCCAAAGTCATATAGCTGTTAATTTCTGTCTCACTGAAATTCACTGAAGCTGAATGTTGGAAGATTCAGGACAGAGGGGGGAAAAGGACCTTGCCATACATAGTTAAACTATGGAACTCACTTCTGCAGTGGGCAGTGATGGCCACCAACTTAGATGGCTTTAAAAGAGGATTGGACAGATTCATAGAAGGTAAGGCTCTCAGTGGTTACTAGCTGTGATGGCTCCGCTCTACCTCTGTGGGAACCAGATGTTGGACTAGGTGGGCCACTGCCCTGATCCAGCTGGACACTTATGTTTAATATTAGATGTATCCTCAAGCTAGTCAGGCCAATTCCTACAATCCTGGTCCCCACCCTCTTCATGCAGGGAGAGTGAGCTACATCACGGGGGGGGGGGCTTTGGTGATGCGTGTGGCTTTTGCATGTGGGTGCAATGAATGAACTAGCCTTTGATGTCTGGGAGCCAACTCCATAAAAAAACAACAACCAGAACACTGTAAGGATGTGAGCAGATGTGATCGTTGCACCTTTGGCATTGGTTGGGAAATCAAAGATGCAGATGCTGTCTTTGAAGCAATCTCCAAGTTGAAACCCTATACAGTGTTTCTCAGAAATAAGACATAAGGTAAGAAGAGTCATAGAATCATAGAATCATAGAATCATAGAATCATAGAATCATAGAGTTGGAATAGACCACAAGGGCCATCGAGTCCAACCCCCTGCCAAGCAGGAAACACCATCAGAGCACTCCTGACATATGGTTGTCAACCCTCTGCTTAAAGACCTCCAAAGAAGGAGACTCCACCACACTCCTTGGCAGCAAATTCCACTGTCGAACAGCTCTTACTGTCAGGAAGTTCTTCCTAATGTTGAGGTGGAATCTTCTTTCTTGAGTCCTCCTGGATGAGACCAAAGGCCCCTCTAGACACGTATAAAGTCAATCCTTCTACCTTCCAACCAAAGGGATTGGCTCCTTTCCCTTGTCTTGCACTTTACCCAGGAGGTTACAACCTCCCACCCACCTCTGAAAGCTCTCAGTCCAACTCAGCCTAGTGGGTAGAAACTCAGGCTTAGAGTTCAATGAGCCACCACTTCAAATCTTTGCAGAGCTTATGAAACTCCCACAGTCACTATAGGCAAGGCACTCAGAGATGTGAAGGCCACCAGGATAAAATTGGGAGGACTGGAATTAGTTCCGTCCCCCTCAGGCCTTCAGATATCTAGTACTCTTTCAGTCTGACCAAGGGCTGCTGTGAAGATAAAATAGAGGGAGAGGCACACACCATAGATGCTCCCCTCAGCTCATTGGAGGAAGGGGGAGGTTAAAAGTTTAAGCAATGCGCCAGGGAAGTTTTTAATGTGTGACATTTTAATGTATTTTTAATCTTTATTGGAAGCTGCTCAGAGTGGCTGGAGAAGCCCAGCCAGATGGGTGGGGTACAACTAATAAATTATTATTATTATCATCATCAGAATATTGGTTGGGTGGGTGTGTATCTATTAACCCCATCCTTTCCAGTTGGTTCCCCTGTTCATCCTCTACCTTAGAGGAAAGACCCTCACATTTTCCTGGCGGGGAGAAAAAAAGCCCCCCCCCCCAGCCACAATTCCTGTGCCCCCCTCGACCCCCGCGTGCGCCCCCGCACCTGTTTGAAGTCGGCCGTGAGGGTGATGAGGGTGCCGTCGCCCTTGCGGAGCTCCAGGGTGACGCAGTCCGCCCCGCTGTCCGCCTGCAGGCTCTCCTCCGTCACTTGCCCATCGGGGAGCCGGACGCGGACTCGCAGCTCCGACGGGGCCCCCGACGCCGCGGCCACCCAGGGCAGAGGCTGAGGCCAGAGCAGCGCCGTCAAGAAGAAACGGAGCCAGCTGCCTCCTCCTCCTCCCTGGCAGAGCATCTCCAGCAGAAAGTGGGGGTATTGAGGGCGAGGGAAGAGAGACTGATCCAAACACCCTCTAAGAAGGACCCCCCTCCCGGCCGGAGTCCCGATCACGCTCTCCTCAGCTCCACCGCCCCGTCCGGGAAGAAGGAGAGAAACTTTCCCAAAGTTTGCAACTTTCCTTCTGGAGTTGGCGGAGGCTCCTGGCTTGACTGCCTGCCGTCTCCTTATCCTCTCGCCGGGGGGAAAAAAACCCCTGCACTGGCGCCCCCTCTAGCCCCTGGATGTCCCTCCGCCGGACACCGCATGGGCTGCTGGCGAGGGAGGTCTACTCCTGGGAAAGTCCTCTTGCGGCTGCGCTCCGCCCCGCCCGGCTGCCAGGGGTGCTCGGATGCTGACTGCTGCTGCCCTCGCCTCGGCTCCCGTTGTTCCTGCTGCCGGCCCTCGCCTCTCCTTCCTCTGTCTCCCCTTTCAAGCTCCCCCTTACTTCTCTCTCTTTCTCTCTCTCCTTTTTTTTTTTTTGCTCCTTTTCATTCAATCGCCCCGTCACTTCCTTCACTCTCCAGCATAACAACCCGTCGTGGGACCTGCCTTAAAGAGACATGCGCCCCCTGCCTGCCTCCCCCGCCTTGGAAAGGGCAGGAGCGCCTGTGCAGCTCCCCACCCCAGCAGGAGAGCGAATGCGAAAGCAATAAAACTGGAGTGGAAAGAAAGAAAAAGTTGAACGAACTTTAGCACTTGCACGCACATGCCGCCACCGTTGGTTTCAGGCTTCCTGTGATCATCTTGATTTATAGGGAGCGGGGGCTTTTTCCCTTAATCAAGACCATCCCTGCAAAACTTCAGCCAAAAGTCCGCCTCCCTTTCATTCCCCCCCCTTTTTTGAAAAAAGATACGGTGGGATTTCCCCGCTACAAAACAAAACTATAATGTTAAGTTTACAGCATCATTCATAAGGTGAGTAGCAGGTGATAGGATAGGAGTCTATAAAACTACACATGGCTTGGAGAAAATGGATGGAGAATAGTAAGAGCTTGTGGGCTTTCGATGAGGCTGAATGTTGGAAGATGTGGGACAGAGAAAAAATGTCTCTTTCATGCAATGCATAAACTGGGGAACTTACCCCCACAAGAGGCAGTGACTGCCACAAACTTGGATGACCACTGAGCCAGTGTGGTGTAGTGGTTAAGAGTGGTAGAGTTGTAATCTGGTGAACTGGGTTCGCTTCCCCGCTCCTCCACATGCAGCTGCCGGGTGACCTTGGGCGGTGGAATTGCAAGGGGTGGTACTCCATCTACCTCACTGTTTCCCCTCCTGAGTTCAGTGAGAACCAGGGCATTCCTGTGCACCACGTTGCCACTCGGCTTCCCACCTAGAGTCCAATACTACACAGGAGGTTGTCTCATGTTAAACCAAACTATTGGTCCATCTACCTTAGTATCGCCTCCTGACTGGCAGCATTTTTCCAAGGTTTCAGGCAAGGGACAGCTCACACCTGACTAGGGAGTACTGGGTTCAGAACTTTTCTAGTCCTGGGGGTTGTCCAGGGACGCGGACTTATAAAAAATATTGGGGGGGGCCCGGGAAAGCTCATGAATAATAAATAAGCTCATGAATATGCAAATAAAGTGGCTCCGGTCCTAAATAGGGCAAGCCACGCCCCCCCAGCCAGCCGATTGGCTGGCTGGGAGGTGTGGCCAGTCGGGATTCCCCTGTTCTCGCGGGGGCTGAAACCGCCAGGAGGAAGGAAATTCCCCCCGGCAGTGCCTTGGCAGTGGCGGTGGTGCTGCGAAGCAGCGAGGCAGGAGCCCCCGCCCCCGGCGCCCGAGATTATTGGGGGGGCTGAGCCCCCCCAATAATTTTTTTGAGGGGGCTCGAGCCCCCTCAAGCCCCATGGAGTCGGCGCCTATGGGGTTGTCCAAACTGAGCCTTTTGCATTGGGCTCCCAGATTTACTGTCTCATTTCCATTCTCTTTAAAAACACACAGGGCAGTTTTCTCTCTGCAAACGGGCGTAAATTTGCATCTTTGCACATGAATTGGCATATACAAATTTGTGCAACCGCCCCTATGATTTGAGTCTTTTAAGAATCTTGCAATGTTCTGATTTTAGCTCACAGAATACTTTCGTTCAAATGACTGTTTCTTAAAAAACTTTGGCTGACCCAAAACACCCATTGCAAATTCCTTTGCTCCTGTCTTGCAAAGGCCAAAGTATACATTTGGGAAAGGGCTGTAGCAACAGCTGAAAGCACGTGCTCTTCATGAAGGAGGTTCCAGATTCATTTCCTGGCATCTCCAGGTAGGGCTGGGAAAAACTTTTGCCTGAAACCCTGGAAAGCTGCTTCCAGTCAGGGTCGATAATACAGAGTTAGGTGGACTGATGCCCTTGTCCAGTTTATGGCAGCTTCCTGTGTTCCTGTGAAGCCACATTGATCACTAACTGGGCGTGGAACAATCTCGTTCCTCTTGGCGAATTTTCCCACACAAAGTCAATGCAGGAACGACGTACAGTCTCCAGTTGTTGTTTTTTTCTGCTTGGGGATGTTCCATGGAAGTGTTTTAAGAGATAGGAACATACAGTTAAAGCAGCGGGAAGCAATCAGAGCTGCAAGAACCCTTTGTTACAAATTTATTTTTCATTAAAGGAAGGAAGTTGCATCTGGAAAACGGCAGGGGCCCACAGCTCACTGACGGCAGACCAGATGCTTAGTACGCAGCACATTTGAGATTCAGCTGAGGTGAAGGCAAGGCGGGGAACCTCCGGACTAGGGAGCCAAATCTGGACCTCTGGACCTTTCTATGTGGCCCTTGGGACTCTACTCAGGCTACACCCTCTCCTCAACCATGCAGTCTCTATTGTCTAAATTGGCATCTATTGCTCCACCCACTTTTGTTTCTGGCCCTGCCCACCCCTGGCATTTGACCACCAGAGAGATAAGTGGGATCTTGTTCTGAGTAGATACTGAGGGACCAGTCTGCATGAGACCCTTGACACACAGGGATGTTTCAGACATGCGTAAGAAGCAAGCGCACCAGAGAGATTGCCTTCAGCTCCTTTTGGAACTCATGTATGGCCACAAATGATGCAGCAAAAGCAAGGAAGCAGAACGTAAATCAAGCCAAGCATTCTTATTTTCAGGCTTTGCCAACCTTCTGCCCTCCAGATGTTATGGGCGACAACCCCCATCAGCCCTAGACACCCAGCTGATGCTATATATATAATGAGACACTGTGAACAGAGATTAGGAATATCAGGCATCCCCAGGTAAGGCCTAGAAGCCCCTGAGAGGTCCTGCCAGTTGTGCAGACAATACTGAGCTGCATGTACCAATCGCCCAACAGATTCCCATATCCCAATAAATGAATACTGGGGTGGGAACTTTTGCAGGGCCCCGTAAGTTTGCCCACTCTAATCCTTCTAGGGGCTGAGCCATCTGCATATATCACAAATCAGCTTGCAGAAACCTGAAGGGCCATAGCTCAGTGTTTTGTATGAAGGAGAATCCCCAGCATCTCTAGGTATGGCTTGGAAAGAGTCCTGCTTTTGAAACCCTGGACAGACACTGCCAGTGTGGACAATACTGAGCCTCAGCCCAGTATACCTGAAGGAACGTCTCCACCCCCATCATTCAGCCCGGACACTGAGGTCCAGCTCCGAGGGCCTGCTGGCGGTTCCCTCACTGTGTGAAGTGAAGCTACAGGGAACCAGGCAGAGGGCCTTCTTGGTAGTGACGTCCGCCCTGTGGAACATCCTCCCATCAGATGTCAAGGAAATAAACAACTATCTGACTTTTAGGAGACACCTGAAGGCAGTCCTGTTTAGGGAAGTTTTTAATGTTTGATGTTTTATCGTGTTTTTAGTATTCTGTTGGGAGCTGCCCAGAGTGGCTGGGGAAACCCAGCCAGGTGGGTGTAGTATAAGTATATTACTACTACTACTACTACTACTACTACTACTACTACTACATGGAGCAATGGTCCAACTTACTGTAAGGCAGTTTCCCATGTTCCTACTTTCCTAAACCTAAGGGTTGTTGCAGCAGAGAATGTGTTTCATGTCCCTCCCTTGCTCCTCCCGAGTCTGTATTGTATTTGGGAACACTCTCCACATCTGGATCTAACTACCAAACAACAGGCTTTCTGTTGCATTGCAGCAGATTCTCTCTTCCCTCCTCTGCCCCCGCCTCCTGTGCTGTGTGGGTCAAAGAAACGGTATAAAGTTAAGGTAAAAGTCTCTTTCTTGTTTCCCTCCCCATAACCAAAGCCATTCCCCACTTATTTGATGGCACATACTACCCACATTCCCAAAAAGCATGCAGTTAACCCTCAAGGAAAAAAGAAAATTGAGAGTCCAAAGTCCTTTGAAGCTACAGATTGTGTACGTTATATAAATAGCTCCTTTAAAAAAAATATTGTTTGTGATGTGGCCGAATTCCAAACACTGTCCTGAGATCCTGGGAAGGCAAAGCTTTGCACATTTATAACACATCTGTAGGTAGCAGTGGTGGACCCCCCCCCTTCCAATCTTCCTGAACAGGATCCAGAAGCAAAGAGTTCTACCCCAGGACTGTCATTTTTTAGAATCGGCCTGGATCCTGTGCTTTAAACTGCAGTTTGGCAAACACATACCAGGAAAGCTAGTCACTCCAGATAGGGATAGATGAATTGGCCCATTTCAGTTTCTCTAATTTTCCCAGTTATCAGTTCTTCACATTTCCACATCAATTAACAACAACAACAAAGGTTCTCAAGAAAACCCCTCCTTATTTTAGTGCAAATGTCCTCTGATATATAAAGGGGACCCCTGACCATAAGGTCCAGTCGTGACTGACTCTGGGGTTGCGGCGCTCATCTCGCTTGATTGGCTGAGGGAGCCGGCGTACAGCTTCCGGGTCATGTGGCCAGCATGACTAAGCCGCTTCTGGCGAACCAGAGCAGCACACGGAAACACCGTTTACCTTCCCGCTAGAGCGGTACCTATTTATCTACTTGCACTTTGTGCTTTTGAACTGCTAGGTTGGCAGGATATATACATGCGTGTAAATGCAATTTAACTAATATGCAGATTTTGCAAGGCAATTTCCTCCAGTATTATGATGTTTTGTATGTTATTTTCATGAACACATGCATTTTTATGCTTACTTCACCCCAAGTATATGCATTTTTGTACACCCCACTTGGCCTGCAAACTACATTGCAAAATTCAAAGAAGTGTGAGTTTTGAGGACTCTCTGTATTGTTTTAGAAAGCACCAATTCAGGTAGGCTCACCTTTAAATGCAGCCTGAATTGGATTTCTCCACTGTCCCTTAGCTCCATGCCAAGGTAAGCTTTGTCTGTTGAAATCTTGTGTGTTGGAGACACAGGAGCCGTGAAAGAAGAAGTAAGTTGGCAACTATATCACTTACATTTTTGGAAATGACTGCCTTCAGTTTATTCCATTTTTTAAAACTGCACTGTGGTCCTTTTGAATGCATCTGGGATAAATAGAAACTTTTAAACAGATTTCCTGTTTTATAATTTAATGAGTGCATTGAAACAGTGATGCATCCCTCCTTTTTCAATTCAAATTGAAGTGCCTATGACAATAGACACTAGAAATTAGAAGTAATCACATTTATTACTACTACTACCT